AAGGTGGACAAACTGGCTTTGCTATACTATTTATCAGGACAATGAAGACGAGAAACTATAAATCAAAGATGTGAGAGGTTACTTCTTTCGGCCATTATTCTCAGAATAATTGGGGTATCTTGGGAGGCTCTGTCCAAAAAGAAACTTTTCCTACCTCTGCAATAGATGGCCAGGGAACCTCCTGCTGCTGCTAATTTCTTTAGCAATGAAAATGTTTAATACCATATTTACATTGCTTGTACATTATTATATCACTTTGTTTATGAAATGTAATTTCTTTTTGTGCAAATGCACACATGGATTTAAACCTTTCTCTGCAGATTTATAAGAGATGTATCTGGAAGGCATTCTAGTGTTTATGTGACTGTCCATTTATTACACATGTCCAGTATATTTAACAGTTCAACAGATTTGCTTTTAATCTAATGGCTCTTCCAGATGGAGGACAGATTCCTTCCTACTATTCCCAGTCGATTCCTGTTCATCTTAACTGTGCAAAGGATGTAACAGTGTTTCTTATCTACTTGGTTTACAGTGTCTTTTGGCTCTTGGGCAGGAGAGATATAGCAGCCTTCTGCTGACTCCAAGCCATCTGAAGGGGCAATTGGCAAGGGAAAGAACTGAGCTTTGCCTTGGTGACATGGTGATGGCCATAACAGCCATTTATCGGCCATCCAACTCCCCTTCTGCCTCCTCCTGCATTGCTCCTGCTTGCAGTGGAGTGGAAATGTCTGCCTAAATGCTTTGTTGCCGCAGTGGTCCCCCCGCTCCATTTCTTCTCCTCCATCTCTCAACCAATTATGATTCTTCTCTCTCTCTCTTCTTTTGTTGATGCATATCTGAGTGGGGCAGGCAGAAGGGCTGCAGCCCATGGCAAGCAGAACACACCCACCATTATTGCTTAATTGCAGAAGAGAGAAAAGAAAACAGAATGCAAAGAGTACACTCCCCTAGCTAAGCTTCATTCTCTTGCATAACAACTTGGGAACAACTGAATTGTTTAGGCATCTGGCTGTGGAGCCAGAGGTGGTGGTAGTGTAGTGGTTAGTGGTAGTGGTTGTTGTTGTTGTTGTTGTTGTTGTTGTTGTTGTTGTTGTTGTTGTCGTTATCATCATCATCATCATCATCATCATCATCATCATTATTATTATTATTATTATTATTATCATTATCATTATCATTATCATTATTATTAACCACAATCACAACCACAACAACAGTAATGCCTTCAGGAGGCAACCTAAAAACATGATAGGCTTATGGATTTTTTGTCATTGTTTGAATCAAGACAACCCTTCCTAGTGAGAAAAACACCAATATCATCAGTGACTGATCAGGTACATTGTTTAAGAGTGCTAATTAGTTTGAAGAATCCCCAGCACTAAATGTATGGATAATGAGGGTTAATAATTCCATGCCATTATAGTCCTTTTTCATAGGTCTACTTTAAAAAAAAAATTATTTATACCCCGCCTATCTGTTCAAAATGACCACTCTAGGTGGCTTCCAGACATATAAACACAATTAAATGTACATATAACAAAAAAACAGTATACTATACACAATAACAATAAGCAGCCAACAATAAGCAGTAGACATATTTTCAAGATGGCAATATAACAGAAAATAAATTAAAGAAGAAAAGGTTAAGTGTTATCTGGAGGGAAAGCCTGCTTGAACATCCAAGTTTTGAGATGGGTTCTTAAAAATACCCAGCGACGGGGCCTCATGAATCTCTGGAGGAAGGTTGTTTTGCCTCCTGTTCCAACTCTGCCTTTTAATTAAAGACAGAAAACCTCTACAACTGATTCTGCATTTTGCAAATGCAAAATTTGCTACAACCTTCAGTTTATTTACATACTATCCTACTATCCAGATTAGCAACTATGAACATATAAGTATTTACAAACATGAATAAAACATAGCTCAAACAGAATCTGGAATGCAATCTTCAAACATTGAGGCTGAAGGAGAGAAGCTGAAGGAGTCTTGCCGCATCTCCTCCAGTGGGCCAGAGTGAGTCAAATGACCACCTGTGTCCTATATAAAGCCTTCCATCTCAGGCCTGAACCCTGACAGGTTGCCCTGGCATTCCTCTTCATTTGTCTGTGATTTCACCCTGTACTAGGCAGTCTTTGATACTGTCAATCATGGTATCCTCTTGGGGAGGCTCTTGTGGTTGGTTATAGGCAGCCTGGCTTTGTCCTTCCTCAAAGACCACCCTAAGAGAGTGCAACTTGAGGAGATAGTGCCGACCCCTTGGACTCTTGATTGTAGAGTCCCTCAGGGGTCAATCTTCACCCTGTCACTGTTTAGCATCTATATCAGCCCACTGGGGGAGGTTATCAGGGGTTCTGGAGCTTTATATTACCAATAATCAGATGATACCCAGCTCTATATCTCCTTCCACCCTTCTGCAGTACATTCTGTCCCGTCCCTTGACTGCTGCCTGGATGCCGTGCTGGGATGGATGAGGGATAATAGATTGAGGCTGAATCAACACAAGGCAGAGGTGCCCAAGAGTCTGAGGTTTAGGTACTTCCCTCTCATTTGGGGGCCTCCACTAATCTCTCTGCCAAGGATGAGGTGCACAGTCTGGATGTATTCTTGGACCCTGCACTATCAATGAAGTCTCAGATAGTGTCTGTGGTCTATTCCACCGATTTCCATCTTAGGTGGATCACCCAGCTGTGTCCCTACCTTGACACTGGGTCTCTCACCACACTTGTCCATGATGCACTGGTAGTCTTAAGATTAGACTACTTTGATACTCTTTACGTGGGACTGCCCATGGGATTGCTATGGAAACATCAACAGATATGGTGGACAGACTATTGTGTGGAGTAAATAAATACCATCATATATTTCCCATTCTGGCTGCCTTGCACTGGCTACCGATTTGTTTCTGTGCCAGTTTCAAGGTGATGACATTGATATACAACGTCCTAAATGGTTTGGGACCTCAATACCTGGCAGAATGCCTTCCTCCGGTGAGATCTGCCCAACCTACTCAATCATACCAGGCTGGACGGATGAGGTCATTGCCCCCAAGTAAAGCTCCAAAAGAGAAGACCAGGAATTGGACTTTCTCAGTGGTTGCACCACATCTTTAGAATAAAGTTATTCTTTAGAATAAAGAATATTTTGATTCTTATGTTTATAGTTTATTTTATATGCTTATTATTTAATGTATTATTGTTGTTTTATTTTATTGTGAACCATCCAGAGTGGCCTTAGTAGCCAGATAATGATGATGATAATAATAAAAATAATAAAATGATAATAATAATGATAATAATAACAAATTACACCAGGAGTGAGTCAAACAACAGTAAAAATCAATAATCTGGGTGTATATGCTGCTCCTATTCTTTTCTTTCATTGCCATGGCAGATGGTAACTCAGGTCAAACTGACACCTTGTAAAGATTTGAGTATCTGTCATGAGTGGAGTCTCAACACAGGAACACCTTGCTGGCTACAGAAATACCTGGTGGTGGAGACATCAAGATAGAACTTTGGGGCAAATGTTCAGAGCCCCACCCACAACAGAATAAACAGAATTTGCTAGGACCTGGCAAAATTTCTTGTGAGCACTAAAACTCCCTGAATTTAAGAACCAGCATGGCCGTTGGAAGCGGTTCAAAACAAAAGAACTTGACCCCATTTTGAAGTAGATGGATAATGTACATGGCCATCTACTGAGCTCATTGACCATGCAAAGAGTTCTGTGAGTTCATTATATCTAGAGTCTGAGGATGCAGTCAAATGGGTATTTGTCACTGTTTGGTCTGCTGAAGGGATGGGCTAGTTCACTCCTTTTTCCATAGATCACATGATATAATTACTGGAGCAACCCAGCCCATCTCCAGAGCATTCCTACCCAGTATTTGACAGTGGTTTCAGCTGTGGGCAGGTTCTCAATCCAGCATTCAAGAAAATCACAAGGGAGAAAAAAACCCTCACCCCCTTCTCTCTCCTGCTTCTGGAAGAATGTTTTCATTTTTAAAAAGTTTTTAGAAGTGACACAGCACATCAGTACTGCCCTTATACTGTACAATGTACAAGAAAACCCACTTACTTTTTCTGCCTTTCCATGGAGCAGAGGAAGTATGCCTTCTTAAGCTATTTCACAATATGGGAACTTGAAAGAGGAAGGAGCCAGACCAAATAGGGTCAGTTGAAGTGTATATGCCATGGGGATACAAAGATCACTCCAAAGAGCAAACAGCCTTCTACCTGAGCTTAGGCCACCCTATTTAACCTGTATCAGCCTGCTTAAAATAAGCCCATTTAGACAAGCTCTAACATAGTGATTGAAAAGTTCCAGAGGTCCAGGAGCTGTAATATTTTACATTTTGAGATATGTGAGGCTGCTGGGAGCCTCATTTCGGGCCCACACAGTCCCAAAGTCAGGTTGCTGCCCACTCCTGTCTAAAATGTCTTAATTGCACTTGTCATATGTCAAGAAAGCAGATCAAGAGCTAAATCAGGATCCAGAGGACTGTAGACTGAAAGGCTGTGGTTCCAGATGGACGTCAGGCTTGATTTCTTTTTTAAACAGAACCCTTCACCTACGGATACACTTTCAAAAACAGATTGCCGCATAGCTTGAATAGGCAGGGAGGGGTATCTGTTGCTCGAAGGAAGGTATCAGTAAATCAGGCGGGCATACATAAACCCTGGGGAAAGATCCCAGGCCTCCCCAATAAAAAGAATGGTACCATCTTTGTACACTTTATCATCCAGATTGCCATTTGATATCTCGGGCCTCTAAGGAAAAGCAGGGCCTTTTGGACTTTTGCTTAGCAGAAGGATTGCTAATATTTTCCTCAGCACCAGTATTCTTCTCCGTTAATGAAGCTACAAGCTTTATTCTTTGCATCAATGAAATCCCTTTCAGCTGTTTTGTCAGGTCTGCCGTATACTCATTACTTCAGCAGAAGGTACAAAGGAAGCAAGGGGTTCGGGAGGAGGGGGAAGGGAAATTTTGCACATTACCTGTTTAGTTCTCATTCTAGATTCTGTTGACAGATTGTTGTATGTATAATGGGCCTGTGTTACTCCACAAAAAAGGACTGCCACTATCCCTGAAATACAAAGAAAAACCATAATCAGTTGCTTCTATTTTCTCTTGGAGATTACGCTCAAAGGAATTGGAGGAAGGGTGTTAGTCAGCCTGAAAACTAATTAAACTACACTAAATGCTTTTTGAAATGACAAGGAACATTCTATAATCATAGCCTTCAAACAAGCGAGAATTTATCTTTGATCAAAATAATCAGAGGTAAGGATCTGTCCCTCTCACTGTAACACAGCCTATTTAGTAGATCAGTGGATAGCTTTCATATTTTAATACGTCTTGAGGGGTGTGTGAGCATAGAGGCCAGGAAGGGACTTACTGCTGATTCAGTTTTGCTGGCAGTGATGGTGGAGTAGCAAGGAGACAGATGCCATCTTGGTCTATGTGTGGCTACTTTCTCAGCGGCTCCTTCATCTGGTGTCAATCCATATTGCTCCCTGGGGTTTAGTCAGTTAGGGAGTGGCATAGGGATGAGTTGCCACCAGGAGAAGTACAGTCCTCTTGATCATCTGGGAGGAATATAAAGTGGTCACTGCTTAGGTATTTCTCTGGTGGTGGCTGGGCATGGGGACCAATCTAAGTACGAAGGGGAGGGCCTGTGTGCCGATCTTTTTTCTGGGGTTAGGGGTACCCTTAAGGAATCATGGTGTGAGAATATGAGTGGTGGCACTTGCTTCATACTCAGGCATGGTATTTGTTTGTTCCTTTTAGATATTTTTATACTTATTACTTTTAGCTTTAATGATGTAAGCTGACTTGCATTTTTTCTTTGCTTTAAATATTGCCTTTTAATGATGGAAACTGCCTTGAGTCCTTTTAAAAGAGAAAGGCAGGGCAGAAATATTGTAAATACATAAATTGTAAATAAATACAACTTGTCTTGTCTTGCCATCCATTTATGAGTATGTGGCTCCAAAGATATACCTTGATTTTTGCAAAAGAACTCCAGGCTATGTGGATATGGAGAAATTAGCAGGTGATCAGAAGCTGACTTCAGGCTAGCAGTGAATACAGATAGATGCTATGTTCATAAAGTTGTGGGTGAGATTCATTGACTGTTCCCTGAGCCCACAGCTGTCAGTTCTGATGTGGAATCTGAACCAGTGAAGTCCCTGTGTTATCTTTCATGTGAGCTGGTCTATGCTGCACCAGTTTCATTTGGAAAATTTTGACATTTTTGCAGATAGCTAGAAATCACTTCAGAAGACAAAAAGGGATGCCAGGGCCTCTCTCCAATTTATGTGTGGATTACAAACTGAAAGAGTCAAATTTTTTTTAATGCAAAGACATATTAATGGAAATATTAAATTTCCTTTTGACATCATTCAGAACTGTTCATTCTCCTTTCAAACTACTATCGCCTTCATGCCATGTGTCAATGAAAAAATTATTCCCAAGTTCCTTTTCTCATCAAAAGTTAGTGGAGCCTTCAGCATCTGGAACTAAAAATAACAGTTCCTTCAATGGCAATAATTTCCCACTAAGCGAAATATTTATTTTCAAGGAAATGTGAGAACGTTTAAATGTAAAAAAGTACTGGTCCATTTACAAAATCCTCTTTTCACTTGTGACTGTTACAAAGAGTGAGTACTTGTGATTACTTTGATGCTGACTCTGTGCCCTCCCCGTTTCACCATCATAATCTACAGAAGCAGCAGCAACAGAGCCTGGACTAGTTGGATTTCTGATGACAAGTTCCAGAATGTCCCTATTGGCATGGCAAAGCGATGCTGGCTGGGGGATTTGGGAAAATGTCATTAAAAAACTGACTTCCAAGCTTGGGACAGCATCCATCATTGGCAACAGTGGATTAGGAGTTATAATTAAAAACATCTAAGGGGAAAATGGGAAACATACTTGATAGAGTACGACAGAAATAGACTGTTATTATTCTATCAAAGAAAGGGAAGGTGAGGGGACCTAAAACCTGATAATAAAAAATGATAGTTCTGTGGACTAAATCTATCCGCAAGTAGCAAAACTCCAGCTGTGCCAACGTAATGTGTAGGAAATATATCTGAAAAGGCAACTTCTTAATTAAATCTGAAGATTTTCACATAAAAAGAAATGTTACTTCCTGAAGCCTGGAAGGGAACAGCAGAACAATGCTCTCTCTATATTGTGTTACAGCTCTTCTTAGATTTTTAATTTGCTGGTGGACTTAACAGAAGCTGAAGAAGATACTAGCCAAAGTCTTTAAGTAACTCTTTTACCAACAGGCACCATCCATGCACTAATTTTTCAGAGTACATCCTGCCAAAACCTCTTTCTCTACACTACATTCTGACCTTGTGGAGGGTTACTCTTGCTCTGTTCCAGCAAACTCCCCATTCCCTTTAGCCACCTCAAATGCCATGGATTCATTAGGATTCCCTATCT